ATGACCAATCGGTCAGGGAAATGAAGTTCGGAACTTCAGTTTGTGTCGCCTAGCCTAAAAACCATCTACAATTTAAATTTCTGAGTGTCTACCAATTTCCACATTTATTGCTTTTTCTTTATATTCTTTTCTTTTTTCAACAAAGAAGTGGATAAGCTAATGTCTCATTTACCTTTTCCAATGATTTATGCATTTTTGCACACAAACACACATATATGTATATATTTACTATATACATATGCATGTACAAATCTATGTGGCCACTTTGATCACATAACTACGAGTATTTTTGTGGTAAAGTAGCAAATCTAGCCAACTGATGCATTCGGCAGGCAACATGCAAAATTTTCCACATACACACATTTCTAGTATGCTTACCATTTGAATTTTTTACTTTTTCCCCGCTGCTCTGCCAAATTCTCTTCACAAAAAAAAACCATTACAAAGCTATGCTCTCTCACTCATAAAGTTGTATTACAAATAAAATTCGCCAAAATAAAATACAAACGAAAAATTTAAAAGCGTAAAAGCGGAAAACACACAAACGATAAAAGAAGCAAACCCAATGGAACGAAAACTAAACAAAAAAATATATAAAATAGAACCGAAATAAGTAAAAAACAAAAAAAAGAATCAAAAAAGCGAATGCAAATATTGCAACATAAAATGTTGCCAGATTGTATGTATATGTACCATTTTATTTGGCAACACAAAATGTATGCAAAACATATGAAAGAAGAACAACAACAACTTCAAAAAACAAAAAACGGCGTACGGACGAAAGAGCGCTTGAATAAAAATATTTACTAAGCCAAGAGCTCGCATGAGGCAAATAAAAAATATGTATATTAGGGTAGACCAGAAATGCACGCGGAAAAATTAAGGTCGGAATATTAATGCGCTGATCTCCTAGGATTGTTCTAAATCGAAAAAGCACTCGCCTGTTGTTTTTTCCGAAACAAAAGAGGTCTACAGGTTGCCCAAAGTTTTCAATGTATTTTATGTGGGGAAAAAACTACGTTTCGTAGAAATGGTAGGGTATTATTGAAAATCAACATTTCAACGATCGGAGAACTCTGTTTCTCTCGGGAGACTTCCAGTAATAGTACCCAATTCTTTAACTATTTTGTCTCCAATTTATTTTTTTCGTTTTTTTCTTTTGTGGTCTCTAAAAATTGTTAATATTAAAAACCTGTTAAACAAAGCATTCGAAATTATTATTGATAGTCTCTTGAAGAGAATTAAAGTTTTACGAACGAAAAACTTGGTTTTTAAGAATTCATACTATTTTTACAAAAAATTGCTTCTTTCCCATATAAAATACTATGTATATGTAAAACTGTGAGCGCTTTGTGCGTCCTGTAAAAATTTTTTGATTTCAAAATAGGAAAACAGGGATATAACTTTTTTCAGAATAGAACAAAACCGGTGTTGAGGGCATTCTGACTGTACTTATTGTGGACCACACTAATGTATTTACATATTGGATATGTACATATGTATGTGCATGTGCAAATAAAAAGCTTGCCAAAAATATTCATACCTAAATATGTATGAGGAAATGTATATGTACTTATGTATAGTATATATGCATATTAGGGTGGGTCAAATTTTCTGCATCAACGGCACATCGCTATTGTGGTTATTTGGGTCATTTCAAGCATTTTTGCCAAAGAAATCATAGGTCTAAAATGAATTTCGAGCAAGCGATTTTTCCTATTCAGTTTTTTTTTTCAAAAAGTGGCTCACCTGTTGAAACAGCTTTATTTTTGGGGTCGATAAATCCATTTCAGGCATTAATTTTTTCTATTGAGGGCCATCAGAGGGCGCTTCCGTAGTTTTGTTTTTGTATTTATAACGCCTTTTTCCGAAAATCGACATCATTTTTGCGAAAATCCACGAAATTTTACTCTCTCAATGCAATTTCATAATGCAATAAAAATAATAAAAATTACTACAATCAACACTCAATCAACATTGTGCAGTCCCCGCTGGGTGGTAAAAAAATAGAAATAAATTTTGAATCAACCGAAAAACGTCGGCGGTAACACCGCTGCCGCCGCAGTTATGAGCCATTGCATATGCCTGCGTGAGTTTTAATTTTGACTGCGGTTAATCGTCGACCGCTTTACCATCGTTTATAATATAATTAATATTAATCCTATCCCATCTTTTTACTTTACAATTGATCGGTATCGTTTTCGCGTGAACACCCTTAATGGAGACTTTTCCCCAATGTTCTAGCATAGCACCGTTCGTCAGCTGCCGTCTCTTTAAGCTGAACTTTACTTATTGAATACAACTAATTGCCGGTAAGGTTCGCTCCTATCGGTTGGAGTGTAAGAAAATAAGGATAGGGCAAAGGGAAAAACAAAAGAAAACTTTGTGGCGGCCAGTGCGCGACAAGGCTCATAGTTCCTATTTACTGTGTGTCCCCGTGGACCACACCACGGCAATTAAAGAAAACAGTCAACAGAACATTTTTTTTTTTGAGGTTTTCAGAGAAGCCCATTCCGATGATTGTTGGTTATTCCCCGTAGACAACTGCTGCCGCATATAATTTGTTGTAAAAAAAAATAAATTAAATTAAGTCAGACAAAATCTTTCTTTAACTAAATATATGCAACATTGTGAAGTACGCAGAATAAATTAAATAGTAGCTTTTTTTTTGTAATCAAATTATAGTGCAAAAATTATCTGACAAATAACGGTGTAACGTAGTGATAGTCTTACCAATTTGAAAATATATAGCGATTTGTTGAAATGAGAAATTTTGAGTATATTTTTATCAGAAGGAACATACGCACATGGGTATCTATAGAGCACGTCACGGACCCGCAATCGTCTTCACTCTCGTCACCAAAATCAGACTGCCGCTTCTAAATTTAATCTGTCA